CTGAGCACAGGACTCAGAGACATCAGCAGCGCAGGAATTTGGGTACAGAGCAGGTGGTGAGACTTCCCAAAACAACATGTTTTGGTCTTGCATCAAGCACATAAAACACTGGGAAAATTAGTGGTAATCTGATTAATGAGAAATATTTGTTCCTTCCACCCCTAGGTTCCTGAAGTATTTAGAAATAGCAGTGTCCTCCCCAGCCCGTTAAACTGGATCCAAACCTGTTAGAGACCAAATAGGGAGCAGCTTATGAGTATGGGGCTACCAGGAATCAGGAAAATGATGAAGAGATGAGAGGCCCTTCACATACTTTTTGCAGGGCACACAGAGAGACAGCTCCAGCTAGCTGGAGCACACAACCCTAAACCTTTACTGAAAGCAGACAGTTACAAGACAGATTCAAGAACTGCACAGCGCTTGTCCTTCTGCTTACAACCATGGCTGATGCAGAAGGTTGGCTTTGGTTGGCTGCCAGCTGCTTTCCCACTCCTCCTCCTCAGCAGTCCATGGGAGAAAATGAGATGAAACATCTCATGTGTTGATAAAGATGGGGAGATCACTCACCAATTACTGTCACACACTAAAAAGATTTGAGGAGAATTATTTTAATTGATGCCATCTAGAACAAAGTTGGATGATAACAAAGCTAAGCCACCCTCTTCCCTCCATCTCACTGCCTTTTATCCCCAAGCTCAAGTTCAGTCCTTTAATCCCCACTCTAACACCTTGAATTTTCTAGAGCTCAGTGACCTGTTTTTCAGCACACTGACAAAACAAAACTGTCTTAGGCTGCCTCGACTTTTCAGAAGTGAAGAATCTTCTGATATCAGACAGCAAAATAAAACCCATCTGAAACACCCCAAGCTCTTGAAAGACTGACACCTCTACCAGTGACTTCAGCAGAGTTTCAGCATGCTTTCTCAGTTTTTCTATTCTTGCTACCAGCTACTTGAAAGAAACAGATAGTTTCATGATTGTTGCTTTCTGGTGCACAAGCCACCAAGAATGAAACAGGAGCTAAATGAGAAATACATATTATCCTACTAAAGATGCAGCAAATCACACATTACTGATAGCTCTTCCTATTCCAAACACAAGTAGTTAATACACTGGTCAGTCCTCTTCTTCATGGGTGAAATAGTAACTAACGCTGCATCAAATTATTTTATATGCACTGTTTGGTATAAAAGATCCATTTTACCCTGGCAGTCAGTTGTCTAAAAATAAACATGAGTTCAAGCAAGAAATAAAAATTTCAGATTCATATGAGCATTTCCTGATTTTGAAAATTAGGTCCTATTCATTTCCTTATAATTACAATATTAAAGACTTAGGACTAAAGGTACAAAGGCTGCAGGATCTAACTTTTAGGAACTCTATCACTCAGCAGCTTTGCCAAGTCAAGCATCCAGGTTTCCTAGAGAAGGCATGCAGAAAATCAGGTACTCAAGACAAAACAACCAGAGAGCATCCAAAGAAGTGCAACAAAGATGGGTCTGTAGGGCAAGGTGTGTGAGGATCGGCTGAGGCCCCTCGTTGTGCTCAGCGCAGAGCAGAGGAGCTGAGGGGAGGCCTGATGGCGGCTGCAGCTCCTCACAGGGAGCGGAGGGGCAGCGCTGAGCTCTGCTCTGTGTGACAGCGACAGGGCCCGAGGGAACGGCATGGAGCTGTCAGGGGAGGGCAGCTGGGGGTCAGGGAAAGGGGCTGCACCACAGGGCAGAGGGCGGGGAACGGGATGCACAGGGCTGTGGGCACGGCAGTATGGAGCCAGGAGTTGGACTTGATCTTTGTGCATGCTTTCCAACCCAGGACATTCTTTGCTCCTTTAAGGAAGCCACATATACCAATCCATAGTAAATGAATGAAGCTAAAGTAGGAGACTCTAAAAACAACTAAGCATCTAACTCCTGCCTGAAAAGTAGGCGGCTCATAGCTCACGGCCCTAACTCCATCTCTCCCTTTCTGAAATCTAATCACCCATGGGCGCCAAACTGCACTGTGCTTAGGACCTGCACCTCAAAAATGAGGAAGTTTTCAAGTCTGCTTCAAATCAAGCAAGCCAAAATCAGGTTCTCTCCTTTCTTCGCAGCCTTCCACGAGCACACTGCAGGATACACTCCTGCGTACTCACGGGTTCGCTGTGCTCTGAGAATGCCTCTGAGCAGCTTTATGGCTTAGGATTTTGACAATTTGGCGCAGGCTTAATAGAAGTAACTAAGTAATAAAGATGTGAATAAATAAGTAGATAGACACCACACACTGGTGCAGATATAAAGAGTACAAATTACATCAAATTTAGGAATTTGCTGGCTATCAACAAGCCGCCAAAATGAACTGGGTAGCTTGTCCACATTGTGCAACAATACATTTCAGCTTAAACATCTGTGAAAGAAGTTTTGAATCTGGATATTCTCCCTGCATCGAGATGCCACATTTGGACTACTATAGCAGCTCCCATTTTGGACATAATATGTCGAATCTAGCTCAACTGAAAATTGCTAACCAAGCAAACATCTGTTAAAACTTCTGATATTATGTGTCAATGTTTATCAAGTCACCATGGCAGACAAAGCTGTTTCTAAAGCTTATTTGTTTAGATGAAAAGCACTGCAGATAACTAACACAGCAGAATGCAAAAACAGCTTTTCAAGGTGAAATATTTATCACTGCCATAGAGTAACAGGTGACTTTCCACGTAATTGTACATTGGATCTTATGTACTTGTATAGTTGATAACATACTGTTGTTCTTGAGGCTTTCAAAATTGTTTCACTTATTGCTAATGGAATGTGATAAGCTGCATTGGATCACTTACATCATTTTAGTTAAGACACACTCACAAATCCTCACACAGCCTCTCAGGTTCAACCCTAGTAAGCCTTTGGGATTTATTTTGGGCCTTGACCTCCACCTACATGATCCTTGTTACATCATCTGGTAAGAGTTGTAGTTCACCCCCATGAGTGCTGTGTAGATTATGCATGGCAGCCAACAGTTCACGATGTATTAACCAGCGCAGGCAGCATGTGGATCTCTGAGACTGCAGAAATTAAGCAAGTGTGTGATTTGAAGATGGTTCAACTGTTTCTTTCAGTGACTTGGAGGTTTCTAAATTAACCTGCAGACTGTATGGTGGCAAACTCTCACAGAAATCAGCTTTGCATGAAAGCTACTGAAGCAACCCCAATGCAATGGAAAAATAACAAGCGGGCTGCACAACCACCATGCCCTCACCTACAACTAACACCTTAGAATACCAGCTCTTAAACCTTGTTAGCTCTTTCAAAAGAACACTTTTCAAATGTTACAATTCTCTGGTAAATCATATTGCATTTTCTACAGTCTGTAAGCACTGCTCTCTTCTAAAAAATGCATGTTATTTGCATTCATCACCTCATAAACCCAGCACTGAAGATCTGTCAAGGACACTTCTCCACACAGTACTCCAGGATGTGAATGCATTACATGCAACGCTGCATATTCATGCGTGTGTAACTGAGTTTCAGAATGAGACGCATACAATTATCCTTGATCCATTCAAAGGCTGCATCCTTGACGCCCTGAAGCAGCAAAATAATCTTTTAAATAATAATCTTTTGAATGATTTGGCTTGGGTGTCCCTCTGTTTCTATGAATTATTAACAATACCTGACAGTTTTCTGATTTACTCCTTTTTGCAGAATGTTTTCTATGAATTTATTTTTCAGACTGGAAGCTGTTCAGGAGAAAACAGCTTTGTACATTGAACATAGCATTGTAAATTACAGCACAGTAAGTTCCAGATTACAGCTAGGTGGACAACTAAGGTACACCGTGCTTTTTCTGTTGCCAGCATGGACTACCACGCTGCAGGTATCCTTGTTTACGTACAGAACACAAGCTCTTTGCAAGGCTTCTGGCTAAAATCTGGCCCTTCTGACATTTCCATCAGGGTGTTTATTTGCCAAAGAAACTGTTCAAAGTGAACACAACAACGGCATGAATACAGCCTGAACACATCGGATTCACATTTCTGTAAGGATATTTATAAAAGGCAGTATTATAAAAGGCACATGCATGTGAATGTCACCCCTCAAACCCGCTCCCTGCTCACGCCATGCAAACTGCCCCAGCCATCCCGGCCTGGCTGGGGAAGGAAAGTGGGAGAGGCGATTTGTCACGTTTCACAGGCAGCAAGGAGGCAGTGGGCTGAAGAGGATTTAAGAGATGCTAATGAAAGAGACGGCAAGGCTGGAGAAGCCTGCAGGATAACGTGCTGAACTGAAATGACAGCGTTGAGTGCAAAGTGGATGACAAAGCCTGAGATGCACAGGGGTGTAGCGAAGGCAGAGCAGAGATGCTGACATGGGAGGATGCTATGCCATTTTTTAAGCTGATGCTTTCTTTCTATCTCCTGACGCTAACCACTTGTTTGCCACCATTACCCATGGCCGATCAGACATCCTGACAGCCCGCATACCACTTGTGTTGCTTTCTAATCGGATGGCTTTAGCTGCTCTTAACATCATTTCTCCAGAGACTGAAAGCACCATCCAAATCACTCTTCCACATGAGTCACTCTTCCATGCATCCCTTTGGCTTCTTCCTTCCAGCCAGAGCTCAGGCTATGCTTCAAAGAAAGACACTGACCACAGCAATTACTGGACCTCGCACACTCGCAGGCACATTTTGACATGGCACAAGTTTTGCAACAGATGTCACACTACCACACACAAAGCCAACGGACGTGTTTCAACCGCACAAAAACAATTCGCTTTTGCAGCCCTCGTAGCATTTGCTCCATTCTCTTTGAGCAGGACAGCCCCAGGTACATACCTGACCCTCAGCCATATACCCTACATACCGCAAGCCCCACGCTGGAGACACACACTAACCGAACAGCTGAAGTTACACCACAGGCACAAAAGAGCCGCCAAGCAACGTTCTCACTGCAAACTTATGAGTTACGGTCTCTCACCAGGTAGGACGCGACAGACGCTGCTTTTTCTCCTACTCACCCTCCACGCCTCCCTCGGCAGTATCCGGACCCAAACTTTCTCGGCCCCCGCTCCCAGCGGCGCTGCCCGCTGCCCGCTGCCGTGAGGCGGCGGTACCCCCGCGGGGGCGGCGGGGCGGGGCAGAGCAGCGCCCACCGCGGCCGCCCCTGAACGCGGCGAGGGCGGATTACGGGCAAAACCCGCGCGCGTAAGCCGGGCTGACGGGGAAAAGCCGCTCGAAAGGTTTTGCGATCCTGTTAAGCGCTCGGAAAGGATCAACATGTCAAAGCCGCCAGGCGGCCCCGGCACATTTCTTGCCACGCCGAGCCGCCTCAAACGCTCTCGGCCCGGCGGGCTGCGGGGGGCCGGGAGCGCCTCCGCCGCGGCACCATGCTCCGTGCGGAGAGGGCGGGCGGCGGGCTCCGCGCCGTGCCCGCCAATCCCGCCGTCTCGTACACGCCGTCTCCGCCGCCAGAGCCCGGCCCACCCGCCGGCGGCGGCCGTGCTGAGAGGGCGGTTCTCATCGGTAGCGCTGCTGCCGGCTGAGAAGCCGAGGGAGCCCTGCTGTGCCTGCGGGTCCGGGCGGGCAGCGTGAGGGGGCGGCGTCCCACGGCGCGGGTGGGAGCGGCGCCTTCTCCGGGAGGGAAAGCGCCCTCCGCTCGTGCGCTGCTGAGTGAATTTTTTTTTCCCTAGTATTCTGCCCCTAAACCGATACCAGGCTAACTGTAACAGAATCACGGAATCGTGGAGGTTGGAAGGAACCTCTGCGGATCCAGCTCCAGTGGAATACAACTCCATACTAAAGCAGTTTCCTGCAGCGCGTCCCTCAGGAAAGCGTCCAGGCAGGTCTTGAATTCCTTCAGAGAAGGAGACCTCTCTGGGCAGCCTGTTCCAGTGCTCTGTCACCCTCACAGTAAAGTAGTTCTTCCTCGTGTTTGTGTGCAATGTACTGTGTTCCAGTTTGAGCCTACTTGTTGGTGCTCCTTATCCTGGAGCCTGGCCCCTCCAGCTGACTCCTACTCTTTAGATACTTACAGACAGCAGTGAGATCTCTCAGTCTGCTCCGAGATTAACAGCCTTTCTTCATAAGGGAGGTGCTACAGGCCCCTCACCATCTTTGCTGCGCTCATGGAATCATGGAATCATAACGTCCAGCCTGAATCTCCCCCGGTGCAACTTGAGGCCATCCTCTCTAGTCCTATTGCTAGTTACACGGGAGAAGAGACTGACTTACCATAACTTCCCTTCAAGTCATCGTGGAGAGCGATAAGGTCACCCCTTCTCCAAACTGAACAATCCCAGTTCCCTCAGCAGCTCCCCATAAGACTTGTGCTCTGAACTGCTGAACAGCTTATTTGCCTTTCTCTGGACACTCTCTAGAGCCTCAATGTCTTTCCTGTAGTGAGGGGCCCAAAACTGAACACAGTACTCAAGGTATGGCCTTGTCAGTGCTGAGTATAGAGGGACAATCGCTTCCCTGCTCCCGCTGGCTGCACTATTTTTGATACAAGCCAGGATGCCATTGGCCTTCTTGGCCACCTGGGCACACTGCTGGCTCATGTTCAGGCATGTGTCAACCAACACTCCCAGGTCCATTTCTTCCATGCAGTCTTCCAGCCATTCTGTCCCAAGCCAGTAGTCTTGCCTGGGGTTGTTGTGACCAAAGTGCAGGATCTGGCACTTGATCTTGTTTAACTTCATCCCATTGGCCTTAGCCCTGCAATCCAGGCTGTCCAGGTCACTCTGTAGGACCTTCCTTCCTCCAGCCATGTTGACACTTCTGCCAGCTTGTTGTCATCTGCAAACTTACTGAGGGTGCACTCAATGCCCTTATCCAAGTCATCAGTAAAGACACTGAACAGGACAGGCCGCAGTACTGACTCATGGAGAGCACCACTCATGACTCTCTAGAAGTTCCCTGTCTTTCTTGAGCTGAGGTCGACACAGCACTACAGATGTGGCTCACCAAGGCAGAGGAGAGACGGAAGATCACCTCCCTCACCCTGCTGCCCACACTCTTTTCAAGAGTATCCTGGCACCCCAGGATACCATTGGCCTTCTTGACCACAAGGGCACACTGCTGGCTCATGGCCAACATGCTGCTCACCAGGACACGCAGATCCTCCTCTGCAGAGCTCCTCTCCAGCAGGTCAGCCCCTGACCTGTACTGATGCATTTTCCTCATTTTGTCACACTTAAGATCACTGAAGTCTTTCACACTCCTCTGAACTTCATCTGATTCTGATCATGCTTTTTGTCCAGGATCCAGAAAAGCTGGAAACAAAATGCTGTGTGTGAAGGCTCCATAAAATGCCTCTTGAGCTGGAAAAAAATAGAGTTATTAAAAGGCATGTCATTCATCACTGTGAAGCTGTTGCACACTGATTCAGGCAAATTGAGCAAAACACGACACCAAAAGTGCATGTAACTGCTTGGGTTCATGAAGAGGGACAGAATTTCCCGTGGCTCTCTCTACCTTGAGAATTATTTCACATAAGAAAGATTAAGAACATCACACAATAAACACTAACCAGAGAAAAACCCCAAAGTCTTAAAGTCCAATCAGAAATTCAAGTCTTTCTGAAACACTTATCACAGCCATCTTCAGAGTTATAGGCTGGGGTTTTTTTGGTCAAAGTAGAAATGCACAGGAAGGTAGAAAATCTCGAAGAGCTATTTCTCATCCTTTGCTGCCTTACTGTCCCCTGTAGATTCCCAGCAGTTTCTTGGAAGCTGTGACATGAGAACAAGCCTACCAGGAGGGCGAGAAGTGCCAGGTTGGTGTTTTCCCTCAGAAGGCTCAGGCTGCAGGTTCTCCATTTAGGTATGTACTGTTTGCAGATCCTTGCTTCTTCTTGTCATAAGGGTGTGTTGCCCCCCTGTTCTAGTTGCTATATGGAGGGAGCCTGGACAGGGAATCCAGCAAAAAAAACTGTGGACATTTCCAAAAAGGTCTTAAATCTGATCCCTTAGACAGAGAACTTCAAGGCAGTGAGGACTTGTGGCTGCATGATATGTTGCTTCACCACTAAGTCTGGGATGCAGTTTGATGTGCTGATGAATGCCAAGAAAGGAAGGCCACAGCCTGCAATTTAAGAGAGGACAAGTTCTCAGCTTGTACATTTTACCGTATTTTGGGAGAGAGATGCTGTTTCCTTGGTTTTGAAATGATTGGCTTCAGGTTGGTATTTGGCCCAGGAATATGTGAATTTGTGACGTAGCTCTTACTTTTGGCACTTAACCTTGATAAAAATGTAGGTATTTGAATGAACTATTTGAATGAACTTAAATGAACTATTTAAGGGAGGCAGTCAAAAGTGAATTATACATGCATACACAATTCTGTCTTTTGAAGTCAGGTCCTTCCCAGATGCAAACAAAGCATGAAGTAAGGTTGTTATTGCCCAAACAAGTTCAGAGGAGTGATTGTAAAAGGTAATAACACAGTAGTAAAGGAGATAGATTGTTAGTCTAATATGCAGTAATAAGAGCTCATTGTATGTGCTTCATTGGTGACTGGCAAGAAGCAGTTTTCTTGTAGTGATAGTGATGGTATCTGAGAAACTATCATGGATTTGCAATCGAAGTATTCAAACAAACCTCAACAAACACATTTGTTTCACTGTCATTCCAGTTAAATGAAGCATTATCCAACGTTTTGGTAGCAGTGCCCCATGTCATGAGATTCTCATTTGAATATGTTTGGAAGAACAGACAGAGGGAATCTGTGCTCTGTTTGTGTTCTTCTATCATTGGTTAAACTTAGGTTAAAGAAGAAAAAACATGAAAGCATGGCAGGGAATAATATAAATTTTCTTCTTTTTGCTAAGCTGGCTACATATCCTAGTAATCTATATCTATTGGTGCATTTCATCTATCAGGTGCAATTTTTCTCCAGAGAAAAATACTGAGGGACAGTCTGTCATATTAGCTTTCTTCCACTGCATGCGCTGACTTTAGGCTCAACCATAACTTTACAGATAAAATAAGGAAGTTCCTAGAAGTGGCCAGTCACTTGGAAAAGTCACTAATCTTCCAGGGAAAATATCTGGATGCTTTGGACCAATGCGAATCAAAGGACTGTCTTCTCAGTGAACAACACAAAGGCACCATATTTCAGTCATCTGAGCAAATACCTTCTGCACGTGGACAGATTATAATTGACCCAAAATAGAAACACTCCCTAAAGGATTCAGTTGCTTTAAGATGAGGGTCCAGTTCCATTTTAGATACCTCAGTTTACCCTCCTTGGCCTCAAGCTGCTTTTCAAAGGGAGCCCAAGTCTCCTGTAGATCTTGTGTTATGTATGCAAGTCTCACTTAGTTGTTTCCTTTATTTATTGCATCTCAAGTGAGGTGACACCTACATTCATGCAACTGAAACCCATTCCCATGTCACAAGTCCTTTAAAAATCTTAACAAAAAGATGTAGCCATATCTAAAATTACATTATTAATAGAGATCAAAGTCTCACAGAAGTAACGGTTTGGGTTTTGGGAACATGGGGAATAAAGTTTATCAGATGTTTTCTCTACTCTTGGAAGAATTCAATTATTACATACAGATTTTTTTTTGTACTGTGAGTTACATGAACAGACCTTCATTATTTTTTTCCATTCTCAAGTACCCACTTTGATTATTAAGAATAACAAAAATGAATGTCCATGTCTAGAATGCATCCCTTTACAAAGTCTGTCAGGATAATGTGATACTGGTGTGAGAAATTTTAGAGAAAGTACTGTGTTAAATTTATAACGCATCTTCATAATACCTCCATTTGCCTCCATTATTAAAAGTTAAATCTCTTTAAGTCTTTCATATCACAGAATTGAATCTTTGACGAGATACCTTTGAAAAGGTATTTCAGAAAAGCAAAAAAAGGTTTATTCTCTACGCACTTAACACAGCATGCACGTTTGCTTGAAAATTGTTATTTTCCATTTGAGGAAATAGTTCACTCTCAATATAGCTACTTCATTTCTTATGTATAGGATTATTTCTCAGTTTTTAGGTGAAGCTCAATGACATGTGTTTAAGAATAGATAATTATTTCTCAAAATGACAAGGGAGCATACTCAAATT